TCAAGCATGTCGTCCAGGATGATCTGTTCCATGATCTTCCCAGGCACAGAGGTGAGACTCACCGGCCTGTACTTCCCCGGGTCCTCCTTGTTCCCTTTCTTGTAAATGAGAGTGATGTGACCCTTCCTCCAGTTATCCAGGCCCTCACCTGGCACCCACAGCTTTTCAAATATGATGGAGAGCAGCTCGGCAACCGCCTCAGCCAGTTCCTTCAGAACCCTGGAATGCACTCCATCCAGCCCCATAGACTTGTACACATTCAGTCTCAGAGGCGGTCTCGGACCTGCTCTGCCTTTACAGTGGGGGGGGATTTACCACCCCAGTCTCCACCTAAAGGTTTAGGGATGCAGGGCTCAGGGACATGAGAAGTACTGGAATCCTGGCCACCAGTGAAGACCGAAGCAAAGAACTCATTCAGTACCTCAGCCTTCTCTTCGTCTGTTGAAGCCAGTTCTTCTTTTACATTTACCAAAGAGGTACACTCACTTTGGCCTGTCTCTTCTGGCCAATGTACCTGTAGAAAGTCTTCCTATTGTTTTTCACATCCCTCACCACATTCAGTTCTGCCTGTGCCTTGGCTTTCCTCATTCCATGTCTGCAAGTCCAGACGGCATCCCTGTGTTCTTCCCAGGTGACATGGCCTTGTTTCCAGAGCTTGTATTCACCTTTCTTTGCCCTCAGCTATCCAGCAGGTCCTTGCCGAGCCATGCCGGTTTCCTACCTCCTCTGTCTGCTTTCTTATTCAGAGGGACGGAGAGCTCTTGTGCTCTCAGGAAGGCATCCTTGAAGAGTAGACAGCTCTCCTCAACATTTTTGTTTTTAAAGACAGCATCACAGGGGATCTTGGCCAGCAGTCCTTTGAACAGCTTAAATTTCGCTCTTCCAAAGTTCAGGGTCCTGACGCCACTTTTTGCCAGGCCCACAACCCTCAAGATCACGAACTCAACCTTTCAATACCTGGACCAGAAAGTTATAATCAATGGATTCCAGGAGCCTCCTGGACCTCTTGCAGCTCGCTGTGTGGTCTTTCCAACAGATATCCTGATGGTTGAAGTTCCCCATCAGTACGAGAGCCCGTGAGCACGATGCCTCCTGTATCTGAAGCAAGAAAACCTCGTCAACAGTCTCCTCTTGATCAAATAGCTTGTAGTATACGCCTATCAGCAGCTGGCCTTTGTTAGTCCCGTCCCTAATTCTAACCCACAGGCTCTCAACCTGTTCCTGGCTGTTTCTTAGAGGAAGCTACTCACAATCAGTACATAGAGGGCAACTCCCCCACCCTTCCTACCTCACCTATCCCTTCTAAAGAGCCGTTACCCCTCAGTGGTGGTATTCCAGTTATGGAAGTCATCCCACCATGTTTCCATGATAGCAACAAGGTCATAACTTTCCAAGCACATCACGGTTTCCGACTCGTCCTGCTTATTTCCCAGGCTGCGTGCATTGGTATAAAGGCACTTCAGCTGGGTTTTCTGTCTCGCCGCCTTTATAGAGGATCTAAGATCCCCTAGAACAGCAGCATCCCACCATGGCCGTGCCCCTAGTCCTTCCCTTTGTATTCCACCGTCTTCACCCATCAAGTTTGGTACGAACCCTCAGACGACCCACTCAACCCCAGCGGCCCTCGTTTTTTCCCCTTCCCCCTTCATACCTAGTTTAAAGACCTTTCAATGAGTCCCGCCAGATCCTCGGCTAAGATCCTCTTACCCCTTGGAGACAGGCTACTTCCATCTGCAGCCATTATGCCAGGTGCCGAGTAAATTGCCCCGTGGTCAAAAAAACCAAAATTCCCGTGTTTGCACCAACTTCTAAGCCATTTATTTATGAGGTGGGTTTCTTGGATCCTCTGCTACTTTTGACAGTTGTGGAGTTGTCCAAAATACGAGTTTTTTATTTACTTTCTCATTACCATGTCCAGCTTCTTTTCCAACCAACGTCCGGACTCCACATTCAAGGTAGTACTATTGAGGATTCATTATCTTCCCCCTGCATCCTGCTGCTGTGGTTTCTGCAAAACAAAGCCCAAGGACACAGGCCAGAAGCATCCTGCAGCCTGCTCCAGCTGGTCTCTGACCTGAGCAATGGAAGGAGCTGTGTCCTGGAGCACCATGCTGCCACTGTACCTTCAGCCCTAAACAGTTAGTTGGTCTGGCAGCTCCTGTGTGGATATATGGCCAGACCTGGCTATTCTAAAGGAGCTAAACTTGAAGCATCTTCAGAGCAAGGGTGACATAGCTGACAGCAATGGTCATTTCCCTTGGGTGAAATGGTTCATTAGTTTTAAAGTGTTGGGACCATTAAAATGTGAGTGAGCCTCTTAAAATTTGAGGACAGCGGGCCTTATCCTGAAAAAGCTTTGAGGAAATTACATTGATTCCACTACCATTAGCTGTGCTGCTCAAATGAGTGAAGATTTGTTGGCTGTGCTTCCCATTTTTGTTAGCTATACTTTATTGCTGTAATTACACCCAGTGGCTTATCTAATAGACTCATGTTCTCATAAGGAAATTAATACAATTAATACTACTTTTAGCAAGAGTGAAAAAGCAAGTAAAATTGAATTGAATTTGACCAAGCTCTTCTTTTTTTATTTCCTAGTATCTGAATTACAGGAAGAAGGAATGAATGCCATTAACTTGCCTCTCAGTCCGATTCCATTCGAACTAGACCCTGAGGACACTATGCTAGGTAATTCACAACGATTTTACATCTCAACATAAAAGCTTAATGTAAAATAAAGTGTCATGCCTGTAATTGTTTCTGATGTCTTTCTTTTAAACCTTCCAGAGGAAAATGAAGTCCGAACAATGGTCGATCCAAATTCGAGAAATGACCCAAAATTACAAGAACTAATGAAGGTAATGAAAAGCATGCAAACACTTTCAAGAAAATGAAACAATCTTTCATTTCATTTGAAAGCTTCAGAGCTCTGTTTATATATTAATTAAGTGAAACCACATGGTGCATACATACATGAACCAGACAGGTTAATTTTTGCTGTAGGTGTGGCACAGAGATTAACAATTTGGATTAAACTCCTGAGTCCCGATTCTTGGTCCTATCCCACCCTCTCAATGTAAAATCATACTGGCTTCCCTCATAGTCTTTGTGATTCTTAGGATAAGAATTTCAGCAAGAAGTTTCTTTAGAATCAACTTCAATACCTTTTAATTCACGACAAAAATGTTAAGATACTACTGACATCAAATGACAGGTTTCACTTCAGAGAGCAACGTGTCAGTTATCTGTTTGTCCAGACCTTGTGGTGCATTAACTCAGTCACCTTAGACATGTGCTTCCTGAATCCTTCCTGTTTTCATCTGATAGTATTTCAGGCTGATTGTACTTGAAATTCAAGCATTGCAGCTTTGGTATTCTTTCTGCTCGGTATTTTCAACATTGTACAAAATGGCATATGTTTTAAATTGCAAATGAATAGTGTATAATTCTGCCCAAATTTGTGTTTCCCATATAGGTATTAATAGACTGGATTAATGATGTGTTGGTAGGAGAGAGGATTATTGTGAAAGACTTGGCTGAAGACCTGTACGATGGACAAGTACTGCAGAAATTATTTGGTAAGAAAAAATTTATGTACACATGTTGGGTCACTCAGTAAGTGGTTCACTTGTTCCTACTTGGGAGCCTTGGTGTCATCTTACATTTATGCCACTAAGTGATATAAAAATAGCATTGTATTATGAGACCCTTGAGCAAAAGCCTGTATGCACAGTCCTCATAGCTACAGTGCAATGTATGGTGCTCTGTAGTTGATGAGAACAGCATAAAGTCTACCTGGGGTGCTAGAGGGTGCTGGGTTTCTTGTCTTGGCAGCAGAATTCACTCCAATTGAATTTATTATCTGCATATGTGCTGTACAAACTTAACAGTGTTAGAAGTGGAAAGTAAGTTTAAAAGCAAGGGTATTTTCAGTACAATGGTGGATGTTTTTAATCTGGGCTGGTTCCATACTGTAGTTTAGTCACATCTTGGAGTTCCTCTGGAAAGCTGGAATTTCTTTCTGATTTGATGTCTGGCTCTTAACATTACTGAGGTAATGATACCCAGTGGACTGCAAACTGAACTTCAGCTGAGAAACAGATAGAGAAAAGAAACTGCTAATACAGAGCTGGCATGTCTTTTTTAACTGTTGGCTTGGAAGCCACTTTCTTAGTTATTACAGCTCATAAAACCTCCAGTAAATTTCTTTTCAGTATCTTAAATGAATCCTGAAACATTATGTGAGCACTTCTAATAAAGAGTACACAGACTATTCCCTTCTTTGAATGGTTAAGCTATTGAATATATTGTGGTGGAATGGATATGACCCAGATAGAGCAACTTGATTCTTATGGGCAGGCCTCCAGTGACTTCACCCAAACCCCCAAAAATGCAAATCAGAGACAGCCTGAGTCTAAATATGTGTACAGTGATCTGACATTTATTGATTTCAGTGGAATCTTTTCCATTATCTTTGGTTCCTTGCGGATTGAGTCTGTGCTAAGAGTCTGATTTTGTGAGGCTATGCTCAGACTGATTCCTGTGGAGGCGTGAGAAACTCATGGAGATAGCAACTTTTCAGGCAGAACTCATAAGCTGGTAGACTCACTTTATTTGGGAAGATACACAATTGACTTCAGCTGAGAACAAGACCAGCTTTTACCAAACTTGATAACATATTCTTTTGCAAAAGAAAATTGATAGGTGATCAAGCATTCTGTCTCTGATGTTGTTACAAGGAAGCTTTTATTGCTGAATTTTCTTCACTTCATAATTAATGGTTGTGAGGTTCCTGGCAGTTTTACAGAACATTAGTGTTATCTTTTATAGCAATAATAATGGAGGTTGTTTCTCTTCTTGTGTCTCTGTTAAATCTATGGAGCAGTGTGCTGGTCCTCCTGAGACAGGGCAAACATCCCACACGTTTTTTTCTTCTCTGTGTATAAATGAGTTATGCATTTCCTCATTGCACATCTGTCTTCAGTTAATTTCATGCTCACACTTTCGGTAGTTTAATGGAGATACTACTTTTCAACTGATCTATCTAAACCATTACACACTACTGTGTAGATCCAGTTCACACCAGGCTTTTATCCAGACTTAAATTGATCTTGCTTACATCTGTTTAAGGCAAACTATGCTGAGTTGATATAAGTACTGATTATTTACAAACCAAGCCATAAAATAATTTAAAATCTACTGCAAATTTCAAAGGGCTGTGATTTCACAGAAATAAATTGCCCAATGTTCTTGTTGCTTTCATGCCTCCAGAAATACTTGCTCACATTTATTGGGTGCATCTTCCACCTCAGTGAATATGGTGCCACTTCACTTCTATCGCGTCTGGGCCAGGAAAATTTTTAAATCTCTTGAATCAGAGGGAGAAGCCACGAGGTTTTCACTGATGAAACTAATCTTGAAGTTGGTATCTATCTCTCCTAGGTGTGCTGGTCTGGTGTGCAAGCCACTTACCTCTCAATCTGATGGGATTTGCAACAAATTCTTATTAGCCTGTAGTGTGGTTATCTTTACAAGTTCAGAAAGGCAGAGGAGAGTGGTTCTGTACATAAAAGTAAATAATTTTTAAACTAGAAGTCTGATACCTGTTGAACATTTCTCTGGCTGCATGCGATGTGGAGTTCACTGGCTCTTTTTTCTTCACTTTAGAGAAACTTGAAAGTGAGAAGCTGAATGTTGCTGAAGTTACTCAGTCTGAAATTGCTCAGAAACAGAAGCTACAGACAGTGCTTGAGAAGATCAATGAAACACTTAAGCTCCCGCCAAGAAGCATTAAGTGGAATGTTGACTGTAAGTTGTTTGTTTTCTGTGCTGTTCCCATTCGTTGACAGCTGAGAGTTTGTAGTTTCTATCTGGAATTCTTAAATACCTGATGCTAAAAGAAAGCTGAAACCTGGTATTTATGGTAGGAGCTATTCTTCAGTAGGAGGTAAGGGAAAGGGAGAACACATGCAATACACTCTGCTCTCTTTCCTTCTGCTCAGCCTCCAATTTAAACTTTCTTTTAAGGGAAATACCTTATTTCTGCTCTTAACTCCATCTGCATACCACCTTAAGTTTTCTGTTACTAACTTGGTTTCTTGAGAGGGGCAGGTGAGTGCATGAGTGCTGAGGAAGAGGTAGATCCAGATCTACTGCATTTGTATAAGATGTACAGCTTATATATTGATATTTTTGGTTGTTTAGGACAAAATCTGAGCTACTGCTTTTGATTACAAAACTCTCTTCCATATTAGTGCTCACTATACTACTACTATACTACTAACTCACTATATTAGTGCTATACCGTTCCCATTCTATTGCATTTTAAATGAACTTAGGAGTATCTACATAGAAATGATTAACACAATGTATATGTGTTGCAGAAAGCAGGTTATCAACAGTGTTGGAAAATTAAGCCCCTTAATCTTTTTAAGTTTTCACCCTAGTAAACACCTGGATCAGCATGTAGCTGTTTCCTATACTTGTCTTGAGCTGAACTGTTTTGAATATGAACACATATTCTAGTCACAACCACACTTTGATAGGGAAAGAAAGGGCTCCAGGGAGGAGGACTGAACATTTGACTTTCCCCTTTGTGTCTTTCCTTTGAGTTTCCTGTCCTCTCTCCAGCCTTCCTCTCCGGTTTGGGGCTTTTTTTTTTTCTTTTCTTCCATTTTCTCTTATACAGCTCAATACAAGGTGTTTGGAGCAGCCCGCTGATTTCACTTCTAGTTTTAAACTAAAGTTTTACATGTGTTTTAGAGCTGAAGATAGACTGCAGCAGCTGTAGCCAGCTGTAGCACATATCGATTATAGGCAGGCAGACGTCTTGTAGCATTCTGCTGAAGCACTTCATCCCTTACCACTAGCACCCCAGCAGAATTTGATAGTGATATCACATTTTATATGTATGGTAGGTGGTGAAATCTCTGCTGCATAATTGAGGCTTGTGCTGGAAGATAATGAATAGTATGTGAGTGAATCTGATCTTGCCTTAAAATGGAGTAATGGTTATTTCATACATAAAATAGTTAAGTTCACTGTACTGTAGCTATCAAAAGTTGTTTTGGAATACTACTCTGGGGAAGACTATAAGTGCAAAAAAAAAAACGAAAAAAGAGGCGTGTGAAAGAGTAATAAGAATTAGAATTAAGATTCATTTTGATGTCAGTGGATTGATACCTGATGAAAAATTTCCTACAGTACAGCTTTTGATATCTTGTAAGTCATGTTAGTGTTAACTACCCATATGAAACCTGCTGTGAAAAAGTTTCAAATAACAAGAACTGTAACAACTTCATGGAGGAATGTTTGAGTCATTGAGTTTAGTAAGTTATTGCTTAGGGCTTCGGCCAAAACAGGCTCGTTTATTATCCTGCAGACTTTGTGACACTTAAAAATGAATAAGTGCATGTTATGAATACAAAAATATCTTTCTGATAGCCCATCAATTCTTATTGAAGTAAAGGGAATAAAAGGAAAGTCAAGGAGAATGTGTAGGCATCACTGAAGCAGTCGTACATGAAATCTGGTTTTGGATTAGCTTTAGATTTCCGTCTACACTAGTCTATGGCATCCAGACGTGTAAACTGATGCTTTGGTGCTGACAAATACTACTGACTGGTTTGCATTCACATGACTTTTTGAGCAGGAAAAAAAATAAAGGAAAGTTTCCATAAAAGTGCCCCTGACTCCAGGTGGGAAGAGGAAGAGAGCCCCATAATCCCTGCATCCTAAAGAGTAAAGATACGTGCTCTAGTAACGTTGCATTTTGTAACTTGTGCTTTTAATATCTATTTCAGCCGTTCATGCTAAAAGTCTCGTAGCAATACTTCATCTTCTGGTTGCATTATCGCAGTACTTTCGAGCCCCCATCAGACTTCCAGATCATGTGTCCATTCAGGTTGTTGTTGTGCAGGTAAGAGAGGTGTTAAACAGCTGCTTGCAGTATGGGGAAATTGAGTGAGGGGTTTTTACTTCGAAAAAAACATCTAGAGTTTCTGTTTGGGCATGCATGTGTATGGTCTCTTTGGCTGACAAGAATCACACGTGCATCTTCCCTGCTGACATTGCTTCAACCACAGAAAGGCAGAAGTGCTTTCCCAGATTGAATTGTGGCTCAGAATGTCATGTTTTGAAGTGGCCAGGCTCTGACATTAAAAATACATGAAGCGCTATTATTGTTGGAATGCATTTACTTATCACACAATATGATCTCTTGAATATCTATTTTTCCCATTTTTTGGCAATATTCTCACTTGTGTAGAGATTCAAATCTTTCTTGGCTCTGAATGATGAATTGTCACTGTTTATTACTTTTAGATTCATGTGAGGTGACTAAATATTCTTTTTCAGCATTGTGCATGCTAATTTAGTCTGATTACAGTGTTGGCTTTTTCATAAGCATGCAAAAAAAGCCCATCAACTAAATCTTTTGTGTCAGTCAGTCTTCTTATTAGAGCCACATCCATCCAAACTCCTTATGTTATTCTGTTTACTATTTTGGTTTCAGTTGGGCTTGTGCTTGCTCTATCTTGTTTGGCCTCTTCCCATTTAATTTGCTTTTCTTTTCCTCCAGCTAACTTTGTCTTTGATTTTCACACCATAATTGTCACGATTTGTGTTTAAACTAATGTAATGCTGAACAGTGAGCTGCAATGCGCCGTTTCTCAAGTATTGCTTTCTGAAAATACGTGTCAAATTTGAGAAAGTAACTCCTCTATTTTCAGGATTCACATCAGACAGGTTTTGTAATTTAGGGGGGAATCTGAAGGAGAATTTCTGGTAGATGCATCAGTGATGCATTCGCTGTCAGATTCTACTTGGTGGTCAGATTCTACAGATCATTGGATGGCAGTGAAGCTCAGGAAATATGCAGTTATGCATTTAAGGCTTTAGAGGAACATAATTCTCAAACATTTTCCTTTAGATATTATAAACATATTTATCATCCTGGTTTATCTCAGAGTTCTAATAAAAACAACTTAAGGCAGCAAAAGTGTAGCAGCCAGGGCATCTTTGGGATAAGAAACTAAAAAAGAACATTGTAGTCCTTAAATAAAGAACCAGATCTTGCATTCTGCTGTCACTCTGTATGTCCAGACCAAACTCCCATTGAAATCGATGGACATAATTCTCCTCTTGTTTAATAGGCTAATGTAGTTCAACAGCAAATCCACTGAAGTCAGTAGAGATAAACCAATTTAAAAACAATAAGTAGTGGGAGAATCTGGCTGAGTGCTTTGCCTCTTAGCTACACAGCGGTAGCTCAGGCGCCAGCAGATTGCAGAGAGAGCAGTTGCACCAAAATAACTTGGAGCAGTTGCACCAAAATAAGTTATGTTGCTGAAGATTTCACCCTGCAGACCCAGTCCTTGATGAAAGCCAATCAGTGGAACTCCAAGGCTATGTTGATTCCTATTAACAGAGGATGGTGGCCATTATTCTTACTTGTTTTTGTTTGAGACATTTCTCATTTCTATTTTATGGAGGGTTTTTTATTTTTTTAAGTCCACTTTTCATATCCTTTGGGATTGGTTCTGTGTTTTTCATCACCATGTATCCTTTGAACTCAATGAAAATTTTAATCAGCAATCAGCAGAATGTAAGGCATAATTTGATGTTCAGGCTTGTATGCCTGATGTGCTAAACCCTCATACGTTCTGTAAAGTAAGGTCATGCCTAGGGAAGCTCAGCAGACTCTGTTAGCTGATTGTAAATTCAACTGTATACAATTGATAAAGGGAGTAGGAGAAAAAAAGGAAGACTATCTTAATTCAGTTATTATTTCATTAGGTTTAGAAATGCACCAAGTGTGAGGGTTGTGTTGGCTGGATGAAGCTTAGAAATAGAAAGATATTTCTGAAACAAAAACCCTGCTCACATCCAACAGGTAATCAGCACAGTTCTTACAAAAGCTTCTGTTTCCTTTGGCTGTTCTTTAAAAAAAACTGTTAGCAATGAGACTGCTATGAAATATGTGTGCTAAGCTGATTTATGAAAAATTGGTATTTGGATCTTTTGTAGCTATTTTGTTATATTGCTTTCCTTTCCTTCTAGACTGATAGAATGAATAACTCTGAACAAAGCCCAGGCTTTGTTTGCTCTTGTCTACTGAAACAACTGAGAGAATTTGTGGAGAGCTGGATCTTGCTGTCTTTTTTACTTTTCTTTAATTAGTTAATTAGTTATGCCATCCTTGAATGGTTAAATGACAGATTATGTAAGTGAGAGATTGTAAGAATGCACTTGTTGCAGTCGGGGCAACAAAGCAGCTAGCCATCACTTACAGAAAACATATTATGTACAGCTGATGCAAAGATAGATGAAGAGATCCTTTACCTAGTTTTCAGGTGTTTTTTATTTGTTTGCTCTATATTCAGCTACCAAATTCAGACAATACGTAAGTAGGAAGATCTTGGCCTTTAATGGGGTCTTTCAGCTGGGAGGGAGCAAAATGCTAAGTCTATCCAAATAAAGTTTTTCAAGTATCCAAGAGATGCATCTCATATTTAGGCAACCTTGAAACTGCATTAATGTTAGTAATTATTTTTATTTTTTTTTTATCAACAATAGAATCAAAATGCAGAATTCCTATTCATATTAACACTAGTTATCAAAAACTGAAATATGTTTTCTGTTAATATTAAAGAAGGCTTTAGGTCATGTTGCACATTTGCAGAGGGAAAGCAAAGTATTAGAAGCCATTTTCTTCCCTATATAAGCAGACAGGGCACTGAGAAGTACAGTTGCCATTACTGTGGCACTCAGTCACAGGAGAGTAGAGTGATGGGGCTTTTGCTCCAAAACACATCATTGGCACATCAGAATCATCATCAGGAGGAAATAGAAAAATTCCTTTCACCCTGCATCAAAGGAAAAAAAAACACAAACCAGAGTGTAATTCTAATTTGAGCTAGATTGTAACTTTGACTTCAAATGCTTATTGTCTGCACAACCTGGAGGTGAATATAGTCCTAAATGATGCAGTTCTTCTTCAGACTTTCAAGATAGATGATGGAAGGGATAGGGATCTCAGCAGCTGATCTGTGTCTCCTCTTTCAGTCTGTAATACACTGGACTCCACTTTGTTTTTATGTTTGAAGTTCCTCCTTAAAAGTGTTTTAACCATATGCAAGAGATTTAGTAACAGAGCTTTAAAAAATGTGAAGGAAACCCCCTGAAACTGTATCACCTATCTAGAAGGACAATTAAAGTTATTCAAAGTACCAGTCTGAAGTGAATGAGGGTGTGCTGTGTGTGGCTTTCTTGCAAACCTGGCCAAATCCTCAGCTCGTCATTAACCCAGGGCTGCCTCTGGTTGGGGCAGGTATTATCTTTTCCAAAGCAGGGAAGAGCAGTAGCTCCAGTTTACATGCCATGAAGGATTTTTCCAAATTGTTATGCTCCTTTTCTTTTTTTCACATAGAAGACAAGTCTGGGACCAGCATAAATTTATTTTTCTTATTTCCTTGTATGGCAAGGAGTGAAGAATCATGAATAATTGCCTAATGTCTAGACTTTACATGCAGTCGTCAGCAGTTGCCTGGCTTTTCTTTCTGTATTGCAAAATTTTGCTAATTTCAGTGAATAGAATTAACAGAAAGAACACAAAGAGAAGCAAAACATATGCGTGGTATGTATGCCACTACCAGATGACTGTAGTCAGCATCCTGGAAACAGTGTGAAATTTTTTCAACTACTTCATTTTCCAACTGACTCAAATTGCTACCATTTGAGTTGGCTTCTGCCATTTTGTGCACAGCTTCTAGACAAGGAGTTCTAAACACCACGTATGAAGGGCTTCTCACATCAGAAGAGCATTGGAGCGAAAGCGTATATTAACACAGTGATGACTGGGTTCTGGAGCACGCTGTAAGTGGATTATCCTCCATTTTGGTTTTCCATCACAAGCAAATAGAGCCTTTTGTGTGAAAAGTAGTCAGGAAAAGAAAAGACCGAGGTGAAAAAACGAAGTGCATGAGCAAGGCAGAAAGAACAGGTAGCTTAAGAGCAAGATTTTGCCAAAGACGAAGCATGGGCACCATCTGCCAAGGTATTCATTGACATATAAGGTTTAATTCAACTCACTAAGATATAAATCTACTAAAGTACTTACACATGCGCTTAAGTGTTTCAAATATCTCGCTGAATTGGGGCCGTTAAAAGAAAAGTGAGTTAAGAACAATGAAGAAAAGAAATACTTCCTTCTACAGGTGGAGTTTCAAGTTTCTTGTTACTGTACAAGAGAGTTTTCTGAAATAATTCCAAGGTGAAATAATATATTACTGGAAGTTTGCTTTAAAAAAAAAAAAGCAGTTCTTATTTTGTAGATTTCTTACCTGATGGCGCTTGTAGATCACAACTACGTTTTTACTGTACCCTATACATTAAGATGTCCTTCTTTATTTCTTCCAGAAACGAGAAGGAATCCTCCAGTCTCGACAAGTCCAAGAGGAAATAACTGGTAACACTGAGTATGTCAACACCGCTTTTGCCAGCAGTTCAGTAATTGAACACAGATGCGTCTCAGAAATTCAAGCATTTGCTGATATTTAGATTTTGGTATTGGGGTCCAGGGAAGATGATGCATCAGCCAGTAATTGTATTTTAGCCTTTGCAAGGGCTGCAGACATGTATCTAAAAATACAAAAGGGTGTGGAAATACTGGGGAAGAGCTGGGGAACTAAAAGCAGGAGACCAAGAGAATAGAGAAGAGTGAAGATATTCAAAACTTCTGTATTTTCTATTTATTGCTATTTACTTCTATAGTTCTTGTTTTTCTTACTTATTATTGTATTCAAAAGGCCTTCAAACATACAAAAATATGTCTCCTTTCATATTAGTATTTATTTGATAAAGGAGAACTAGATTCTTTGGAATGCAATATGACTTTTATTTTTTGAGCCACTTGGACTTTGGGGATGTGAAAAATGATATTGTTAGTCTCTCTGTATGTGTCATCTCACCAAGCAGTTCATAGCAGAAAACTTATTCCAAACCAACAGAAAATAGTAGAAGAATATCCATGTTCCTAATAGATTGGAGAGAATTCAGACTGATGACTTTTTATTAAACTTTAGATTTATTTACGCACAATATTTATTTGAGATTGCAACTTATTAAGAATGTAGTCCAAGCGTTGTCCTGGCTGGAGTTGTATTGCAGGTGTTGTGATAAATGCATTTGAGGCAAAGGGAAAGTTTTTCACAAAATCAGCATGAAAACGTCATCTTTACTGAGGCAAGGTATGTTGATTTGGTCGTTCAGCAGTAGGAAATCTGAGAACTGGCCTTCCTATGAGACTTCTGTGAATCCAGGAGATCTTATGCTGATTTACTCCAGACTAATCCAAAGTCTCAGCTGGAATAACTTGATGAGGATTTTCTTAATCCCATGAATTTCCTCCAGTTTTCACCAAGATGAAGATCTGACCACATACACAGTTTTATTTTGCAGTACAACGTCTGCAAGTGGATTACACATTTAACTGCTTTTTTTTTGTTTTGTTCTGTTTTGTTTTCCATAGGGCATTTTCAGGAAGACATGGTAAGTTCATATGATTGCTATCTTCTTAAGTCATCCAAAGAATACATCAGTTCTGGAATGAGTGGTCTCTTTGATTAATCTGCAAGGAAATGGAGGATTTCTAATTGACTTGGCAAATAGCTATCTGCCACAGACTGTTCTGACAGTTAACAAAGGGGGAAAAGCATGAAAATCAATGTGACCATCTTTAAAACACATTTCAGTACTTCTCAGCTCGTGCTAGATTGCAGATGCTTTACGGTTTAGCCTCTAGAACATTATTGAAACAATATTAATGATCATAAGCTCCCAGCATAATATGAAATGATATCTTATGATAAATTCACTGGTGAACATGTTGGTATTCTTATATCTATTACCTACTTAACACTTTAATGACTTAGGGTCATTCTTCAGCGTATTTCTGTGCCAGTAAGTCTCATGGTTAGTACTTAGACTGGCCAAATGGCTGGCCAGCACAACACAGCCATCTGAGGAGCTTAGATGGACACCCACCAAGAATTCAACATTTATTTCTTATTTCTCAGTCGTTGCCTTACTGCTGACTTAAAGTCTGGAGGCATGACATTTTCCCATGATATCTGAGAGCAGCCTTACTTCCTATAAGTCTGCCTTCTGCAAATGCCTTTGGATTTACTCTTAGCATTTTTTTGAGGAATACAAATGCAACTTTTTGTTGGGTCATTCTCTATCACTTGTGTGGTTGTCCAAATGGCAATTGGTCTTTTTCTTTTTTTGGTTTTTTTTTTTCCTTCAGAAGGTAACCACAGTGCTGTTGTAGTCATTTTACTTTAGGTTGCCTGTCCTGCTAATCATGTCCTAAATTGCATCTCAGATTGGTCCAAGAACATCTATTCAAAAGAGTTCTTTACAGCTGTGTAGCTGTAAGCTTGCCTGAGGTGGTTAATAACACAGCAGTCAGCTGAGCAATATATGCATATTGTGGTCCCTGGGGAAAATTGTCCTCTGTAGTAACTCCAGATGTAAAGTCGTATTCTTCTGAACAAAATAAGTTGGTTACTTTAGCTCCCTGCTCCCTGTGTAAAGTTCAATGCATAAATATTCTACTCTTTGCTCATTTTTTGAAAAACAGGGTTATTAAGCAGTCCAAATTGTATTTGAAAATAGTGCTTTCTCTAAATAATAGAGAATAAATTACAAGCAGCCTGAAGCAAGAGGGAAATATGCAAAATATTTAGTACTTGGAATACAAAGAGACTATACTGAAACATTTTATTGATTCCGTTGTCTTAAACAAGTGTGTGCTTAATCAAGTGTTTATCCTGTATTTGGACAAGTGCTTCGAAGTATGTTAACATCTCTGAATGTTTTTCAGAAAGAGATGCATTTGACACGCTGTTTGACCATGCTCCAGACAAGCTCAGCGTAGTAAAGAAGGTTGGAAGGATTCTATTTTAATAAGTACAGCATGTGTCTACATGCTCGTGTGTGTTTATGTAGTGTGTGCATATGTATATAATATAAAATAGACATCATTTGCATACATTAAATACAATTAAACTTGTTTTGCTGAAAACAAAAATAGAAATTCATTATTATAATGTTTCTTTTTGATAGTATTTAGCAACGTTAACTTAAATTTGGAACACAAAAAGAGATGAAGTTCTCAAAGTTTCCATCAAAAAGAAGTTCTCACAAAGTGTATGTTGATTAAAACCTAGCTGGGTTGATCGAGTTTACTGACACCCAAAAAGTATGCAATTGACAACTGCCAGTAGCCTGACCTGGAGGATTTGGGCTCCTGTCAGATTCGAGTGAAGTCCTATTTACCCACTTCCCTACAGTCTGCCACAAGATATTTTTTTGAAGCCGTTGCATTGTAACAGTGAATTTTTTATTCATATATATCGTGTTTATTTTATTTCAGTTTATCATTCTTTAAAAAAAAGAAATTAAAAATCCCATTATTCAGTTTTAAAACCTAAAAAAAACCAATTGTACTGCAGTCTCCTTGCTCTTACAAGTTCTACTCTGAGTAGAGTACGTACTCTGTGTCTGGAGCAGGTGCCCTACTGAATAGACCTTCACTAAACTGTTTTCACGTTTCAGACTCTCATCACATTTGTGAACAAGCATCTCAACAAATTGAATTTGGAGGTCACTGAACTGGAGACCCAGGTAGGTTTTTATAGCTTTTGTTGAAGGAGAGGGTCATTTGCACTGTGTAATGCACCGTGCCCCCAGCTTTATACAGGAATATAACTGAATTGTTATTGATCAGGCTCTGAGATGTTATTTCAGTGGGAAACCCTTCAGTTTTAAATATATTCATATGAGGAAAACCCTCACCAGTTAAGCGGAGAAATCATAAGGGCAGCAACAGTTTTGTACTTGAATTAGCATAAAAATTAGTTAGCAGATGCTACCTCTTGGGTGCTGCTAAGTGCTGTAAGAAGAACCTGTGCCTGTTTTCATCAGGAGAGGCTCTGTCTGCTTGGTTTGAAACAGTTTCAAGATGAACAGTTGTTTCCTGCCTACCTTTACACTAGCAAGTAATCTCATGGGATTACAATGGCTCTATTCAGCGAGATGAATTCTTGAGACAGAAGCTGCTCAAGTGTATAGGCAGCTGTACAGTTGAGCTGCAGGCTTGATTGCACCACAGAAATAATGTGGTCCATGGTCTTCTTTTCCTGTTCTCAGATGCTAAATTAGCTAGAAAGAAGCTAAAAGAAAAGCTTTATTCTGTGGTTTTCAAAAATCCCTATATGAACAATTGCAGCAGGAGGTCAGACAGGAAGGAGGCTACCCACACCAGAAAAAAACTGGTGTCTTCACAACAGGCTTTATTTAATGTCTTGATGCGTGCTATTAAGAATCTCTGGTTTATTTGTATAACTTTCACTCTGATAGAGGTTTTTTAAAGGTAAAATTGAGTTTTAGATGAAAAGGGCTTTTAGAAAAGTGTTACTGTGCGTGCATATTGCATTGTTTAATTTTGGGGAAAAAAACATGTTATTCAAATGTGCCTGGAAACACCTTAAGCATATATCCAAAACAGTATTCCCTGAGGTGAGAGATTCTATTTCTATCAGCTGAAACAAAATAAGCTACCTCAGGAAGATAGAACGATAGAATCAATTACATTGGAAGGGCCCTTAGGATCAAAAAATGCCACCACTAAACCATGTCCCTTAGCACTACATCCTGATAAGTACCTCCAGGGAAGTTGACTCCTCCACTTCCCTGAGCAGGCTGTTCCAACACCTGGCCATCTTTTCTGTGTAAAAGCTCTTCCTGTTTATCCAATTGAAATCTCTCCAACACATCTTGGTGGCATTTCCTTGTGACTTATCACTTGTCACCTGAGAAAAGAGACTGACACCCACCTCGCTTACAGTCTCCCTTCAGTTTGCTTCTGGTATCTCAGAGTTTGATTATGGTAGACTTAATGCCACAGGGTTACGAGTGAGATGCCTTGAACAAAGTCTCATGAATGTTACTATTTTTTAGATAGAGATGAGTGTATAACGTGGAAATTTTAATTCTTTATTCCTTTGTTTCCTTCAACATACTGAACTTCAGTGCAATCATCAGTGCACCTTCATTCTGCTTTTTCTCTGCTCGGAGAGCGTATGCTATTTAATAGCTTGAAAGGTGGTGGTTCTGATTTCCTGCAACTAGCAGAATAGAAAACAAAGACACAGGTCAAAGTTGCTGACCATTGCTTTCTACAGAAACTTTATTCTGTGCATGTATTCAGAAAAAATACTGAGAAGTGTCTTTTTTTACAGTTTGCAGATGGTGTGTACTTAGTCCTGCTAATGGGTCTCCTAGAAGGCTATTTTGTTCCTCTCCACAGCTTTTTCTTGACTCCTGATAGTTTTGAACAAAAGGTAATGAGATTTCGTTTTTCTCTTAAAAACAAAACAGAACAGAAACCACCTAAGCAAACATATCTATCATTTTAGGGATGATACTGACTTTTCTGTATAGGTTCAATGTTGATCACTGAAAACCAAAGAGAACAGGGCTGAACTGGTAACCATTTCCAAGCATTTTTCAAAATCTCAGTGTTAATACTTATTCAGAATAAAAGGGAAAATTATATTAATGGTAGGGTGTCTAGCAAATATTAACTGATTTTGGCAACCATTGTGTGATGCTGTCATTGAGCCAGCCTTAGTGTTCATTAAAATTATACACAAATTGATGACAGGACTGATTTTTTTGAGCCCAACATCAAAGAATTTGACATTTCAAAAGTTTCATATTTTTTATCTGTGTACCATTTTAAGACTAACCATTACCCTGATGTCTGTTGCTGTGTAAGCAATTCAGCTATCTAAGATGCACACTACATAAGCCATCATGTTCCAGTTTGTAAAGTTGGGGGACTGTTTTTTTTCTATGTGTAATGTTAGTTCACATGCTATTTTTCCATTACTTTTATATTTCTGAAACACTTTAACCACCCAGAAAAAAAACAGAAACAACAAAATAAAGGATTGTCTAGATTGATATATGGAGGTTTGATTTTTTTTTCCTTCACAGCATATAGATCTGCAGCTTTAAATGCATCTTGATTTGATCTTTTTTAGTATACTGTGTATAGATCATCATAACAACTGCCTGTATCATATTACTAGGTCCTCAATGTATCCTTCGCATTTGAGCTCATGCAAGATGGTGGATTGGAAAAACCAAAGCCTAGGCCAGAAGGTATCTATGTTACTTTTTATGGTGCACCTCTTTAAAAAAATTGTGTTAGATCCAGATCTCATAGGGTTTTGTTATAACTAAATAAAGGTTAAAATGTGAATGAGGTAGAGAAAGTCGAGGCACATTTTGAAGTGCTGAGGTGACTGAAAATGAAGGTTTTGTTGCTGACCTTAGCAGGACCAGGATTCCATTCCTCTTCACTTATATAAATGCAAGATTTAAATCCAGCTTTTCAGGCTGTATATAAGACCCTTGATTCCCTGTAGTATGAGGCACTCATATGGTTTCTGTTGTTCTTGCCATGGAGGAGCTGGATATGCAGCTCTTCCCAATGGTGGCAGCTGGGTGCTGCATGTTACCTACCACAATAATTAATGTATGTGTTTTCAAGAGTCAGTCTTTTCCTACCATAATACTGGATCATTATTTCCTCAGGAATGATAGAAACTGATGCTTCAACTTCTTGTATTAAGGACACTGGAGATTCTGACACAGTTAATCAATTTCTGCTCTGTTTTGCTCTTTCTTCATCCCTTCTGACCTCCAAATTGTGACATCAGCAGGCACGTGCACAGAATTATGTCTGAGGACTGAACCTATGCTGCCCATGCATTTAATCTGCATCTACCCAGCCTACTTCATCACTTCTCTTGATTGCTTCACAATCATGCTTAACTGCAGCAGTGGTGACTGTGTCACAAACTTCTGTGTTTGAAACAGTCAAAGGGAGAAGAGGAAAATAGTGAAATCTAGAGATCCAAGTAAAACAGAGAATATCTGTGATCCCTTGTTCCTGTGGAGGTTTAAAATTCTTATGGCATTTAACTTTGGGGGTATTTATTGCTCCAGGGGACAGCTAATTTTTCCAGTATAAATCAAGCCATGAGGATATTTCAGCATATATAAGACATTTCTTGTGCAATTATTGAAATGCTTAATATGAAACTTCCTGCCCAATGTGAATGGAAAAACACTTCTGTTTTATGTGTTGTTACATTGGGCACAATGCCCATACTTAAAATTTCCAGTGAGCAAAAGAGCATTGAAAAGAATTTTACCCCAAATGCATAGACTAAATACTCTTTAAATTCCTACACTGTTTCTTTGAGGTTCTTGGGGGAAAAAAAAATGCTGAAAAGTGCTTCAGAATATGAAAAACATATTTAGTGGAAAAAAGAATGTGGCTAAGTAAATGAGTATGAAAACCAATGATTTTTATGGGGTCAACAGTTTATTTGGCTTGTTTGCGATATAATTGGAAGAGTATTAAAAAGCTTTCCATGACCTTTTACTTTAAAAATGGCCAGAACATTAATCTACTGAGTCTATAACAAATTCATTTGCAGTTTGAGCTTTTCAGGTTACTTCTTGAAACATGTAAATCAAAGCCAAACTTAAATTCCGCTTTTTGAAAATTGTAACCAGTAAAATGTTCTGCACGTCAAACACAATTAGCAATGGAAATAAATCTTTCTTTCTCAGGGAGCACTTTGCTTTTTACTGTGGGCCTTTCTCTGGAATTCTGTTCTGGTGATGGAATCATCTGGTAATTTTTCAAAGACTTGTGAAGAGATACAGAATGTATCTCTTCATTCATTTGAAGTTCTGTGTTAGGAAATGAAAGCGTTATGCAGCTTGCTTCTGGCATGAAAGAAGAAACTTCCTGTACTATGTGCAAACAGTACTACAAAGCATAATGTGATGTTGTGGGACAAAATGCCTTTCCTGTAGATTTTGTCATTTTTTCTTCATTTTGTAGCAAGCATTTTTTTTATCTGATTTACTAAGAATCACAGAACTTTTTGGCCATGATTTCATGACCATGCATAATCTCATTGAGAAATGTAGGTTTGTCTGTTTTCAATCTTTATCCATGGATGTCATTTTGCCGTGTGGCTAATACGTAGGCTGCTCTAAAAGTAATGCCTCCTGTTTATTCCCATGGAAGGTACAACACTTACAAAAAGCACAATAACACTATTGGACAGAGAAAATTTTCAGCTACAGTATGCTATTTTTCAACATAGTCACCACCATTACCTGTGTGTTTTTACCAGCAACAAATAACAGCCTGCATGCTGCACTTGTAGAAGTCTGCACCAATTGAGATGACCCTCTGTCACCGCTGCTGAAATGCAACACCCACCACCTCTGTGTGCTCACTTCTGCTCTTTGGTCTCCGTACACATTCAGCAAGTATCGTTTGAATGTCAGTAGGTGAAGTTTTTTTCCCCTTCCGTGTCAGGCACCATTTTGTCAGAGTGCCCCTCTGCTGCCATCCATCACATGGCAACAGCATGTAACAGAATATTGGTGGAAAGGCTCAACCTCTACTGCTGTCCCACCAACGTCTGCCTCTGGCATTGTGGGTCAATGTAATAACATAGGATGCATTACTTTCAGAGCAGCCCTGGTATGTTTAGCCTTTCACAGCATGGTTTGGAACAGCATGCATGGCTTTGATTGAATTCATTCTTCCAAGTATAACCCCTTCACCGTCTGTGAGAAACATTAGCAAAGGTGAATATATTGGCAAAACTGGTAAAGTCATCTGGTGATTACATACACAGTTTAATGGGTTTCCTTGGAAGCTTTGAAAATAGTGGGAGTATGCACACCATCAGCTTTACACCTTCATGGCTAGCTCCAAGGACCGAAGTTAGGAGACTGAGTTCCTGTACAGTTGTCAAAAAGAAAGGAGCCTTTCTGGTGGGTAATTCCTAAGTCCCTCTTTGAGATTAAATATCCCTTGAAGCATGAATATAGCCTGCTGCAGTGGTACATGTCAGTTTGTTTTATAGATTTCTTGTGAAATAATATTGACTTTCTCAACAACTTCCCTTGGAAACAGCAGGTATTCATTAACGTTTTGTTCCGCATGAATCCTTTACTTTAGATGTTGAGTGTCCAAGGACTGATTCAGCCATGTACATCAGCTTAACTAAAGCATTTTCTGAAACATCTTCAAGGGGCACTTACACACCTAGTTTCTTTAGATCCTTTAGAAATTTTAGCCTTGCCTCTAATTATCTTGACAAAATTAGACCTAATAATGGAAATTACAGCCCAGTGTCCTGTAATCCTTATGTATGAGAAAAAATGTACTGCTTGATAATTTTTTTGAGATTATTTTGGCCACAACTAACTGAAGATTTAGTCCTGTCAGTATATGTGAAGCTAGGTACAGTTTTTATCTTGGAGGCCTTGAGAATTTGGTTGCATTTCTACATCAGCGACTTTACGTATTTGTAACCCTAACTAAAAGTGGTTGAAAAAATGATTTTTGAGTCAATAGTTTAAAAATTGCTTTCTTTATATTTCTACTCTTTTTTTACTGTCTTTATGATTCTAATGTTTACAGATATGGATCTGAGCAGCAGAGGGGAATAGAAGAATAAGCACTTTTTTCTGAAAATGTTTTGGACGTACCAAGTTGCTAATAATTTTTTCCTTGTCTTTTTTTCTAGATATTGTAAATTGTGACTTGAAATCTACACTGAGAGTACTGTATAACTTGTTTACCAAATACAGGAATGTGGAGTGAAGAATTCGTTTGGAACATAAAGAAGTGTTAACAAAGAAAATGTCATAACTAGCATATTTTTCACCAATATTCCTCTGCATCGTTATCCTAGAAGGAACTAAACCATTTATCTGAAGAATCTTTAATTGACTACTCTTGCACAACTTTTTCCATAGTGGGCTTAAAGCTAAGACTACGTAAAACTAATACAAATTATGGAAAAAATTTGGAGGAAGGTATTTGAATATCTTCTGGGAGAATCTATGTCTCAGTAATAACTCCATCTCTACAGTTTTGTAGTAGGTGGAGCAGCAATGAAAAAAAAAGATTTATTAACTTTAATTCAAATCAGCTGTTGAAGCCACATATAGGAAGTTTCTGTACTAAGCATCTACTTCAGTGTTTATGAAACGTATCTGTTCCAGTCTGAGGAGAGGAAGCATACTTTTCTGTCCATGATAAAATGATTGCATTGAAATTCTAAAAAATGTACATACGGAGAAACACTATAATGCTATTCTTCACATCAGAGCTGAAAAGAATAGACTTCCTCAAGTACTTAACCTAATTAATTTGTATTTTCAGTGCAGTTAGGCTTGAATTTTATGGGTACAAACTGAAGTGGCTACTTTTTCCTTCAGTCTTATTATAAGATATATATATAACAGATAGATATATATCTATAAATATATAGTACTGAGCATTCCTCCTAAGTACACTTTGCAGCTTGTTCACTTAGTTTTTTTCATGAAGATCCTTTTTTATTGTCGTTTTTTTCCCCAAGGACACATTTTCAGGAAAGCACACCTGTACGATACAGTTTCCCTGTAGTATTTGTATTATTAGCATAGAAATGCTAGAAAGTTGGCTTATTTTTCTTTTTTCCAACTTTTAATAGTTGGAACATGGAATTGTCACGTTATAAATTTAGATTTATTATTAAATAGAATTTAGAATCTATCCTTTTGGTTGATGTTATGGTGAATGGATTTTGTTGCCTAATGTCCAGCATAAAAAATAATACTTATTTTCCAGAAACATTCCTCTAGCCTTTCAGCTATAAAAACACTGCTTTTACGTAGGTTGCTCTGAAAGTAATGTCTCCTATTTATTTCCATGAAAACTACAACCAATACAAAGAGCACAATAATAGAATCACAGAATCTCAGTGTTGGGAGGGACCTTGAGAGATCATCAAGTCCAACCTTGCTGCTAAAGCAGGTACCCTACAGTAGATTGCACAGGTAGGCATCCATGATGCTATTTGATAGAGAAAATTCTCAGCTACAAAACACTGTTTTTCAACGTAGTCACCACAATTAACTATGTGTTTTTACCTGCAATGAACAAGAGCCTGCATGCTGTGCTTGTGAAAATCTGCACCAGTGGAGTTGACCCACTGTATCACAGCTGGTATGATGGTGTCATTGCTAAGAAATGTTGCCCATGCAGTCCATCTTTCATCGGCTTGAACAGATAGAAGTCAGAAGGCACCAAATTCAGGCCATATGGTGGGTGTGGTAGGATGGTCCAGCCAATATTGGCAATGTATTCTACGGTCTTCAGACTGGTATGGTGTCCAGAGTTGTCATGTTGCAAGAGGAAGGTTGCCACCTTCTCTGGCCTGACTCTGGGTGTTCGAGCCTTCAGCTTGGTCAGTGTTGTGATGTGGCTGTCAGAGTTGACTGTTTGTTCGAGTTCCAAGAAATCAGGAAGGCTCACCCCTTTCCTATCCCAAAAGACACTGCACATCACTTGACCCGTGTGAACTTTTTCATCAGTGGGGAATTCACGTGTTGCTACTTCATGGACTGCTGTTTTGACTCTGGCTTATAGTGGTGACACCAAATCTTGTCACTGATAACGATGCAATCCAAGAAACTGTCACCTTCAGCCTCATATTGGTTCACTAGATCCTGACAAAGCAGTGTTCTTTCTGTTCCTTTGTGAGCATTTGCAGGATCTAGCTGGCACATGCTTGATGATACTCTAATGTTGCTATCATCATTTTCAATGTGTTGAAGCCAGCATTCAGCTCCATATATAGTTCTGTAGTCGTAATCTGCCAACTCGTGTGGATGAGCTGATTGGGACACAAGCAACAGTGAGTGCCAATTGGTGCTATTTTTTTCCACATGGAAGAATTCAGTTCCTCCCCACTGCTTCATCCATGTCCGATGCCGTTTTGTCAGACTGCCCCTCTGCTGCTATCTGTCTCACACACGAAAATATAATGGAGTATTGGTGGGAACCTCCACTTCAACCTCTACTGCCATCCCACCATCATCTGCCTCTGATGTTGTGGGCCAACATAATAAAATAGGAGGCATTACTTTTGGAACAACCTGTGTAGATCAGAACTACTCACATCTGCAAAGACTGCTACAGCGTAAGGTTGGTTGGTCATTTTTTGTGTCTATAAAGAATACTTTTTTTAAATCATGACCAACGATAAGCTGTTACCCGTTTGGTTTCAGTTTATCAAAGACAGAAAAGGGAAATGAGAATTGATTCTTTCCTTAGACTGCTATCAAACATCAGTCGTGTTTCCATGAAGAAGCTCTGGAGGCTGCCTGACACTAGCATAAATCATCAAAACTGCTGAGAAGTAAACTAATCATATATTAGATGTCTTCATGTCAGTTTTGGATACCTTCTTAAGTGAAGCGTTCCAGCACACCGTGGTTTCTTGGGATACTGGCTTACACACTAAGGAAAACAAAGTCCTGAGGCAAAAATTATTGGAAATTTGTGTGTTGTAGAAAGGAGACTTTTGCAAGTCATCTACTTATGGTAGAACTGCTGTAGGTGGAAGGGCAGGCAGTCTGTCAGCTCTTGAGACTGTTGGTCTGAAGAAATGCAGTATTGGAAACTACAGTTAACTAACAGCTGAATGTTGATTACTGTACAAAGCATGATATTTTTTTCAATTTTCAGTTTTTTGTTGTTGTTTTTTTCTTTTTAATTAGTGCTTTCCAATGCAACATCAACTTAAACGGAAGTCAACAATTATATTCTGCCTGTGGTGAACAATAGCTAATGCTAAATAACAAGATGATACTGACTTGCTGGAGGGCCACAGAAATTCTTCTGTAAATAAATAAATCTCAATAAGTATCAGCTTTTGCAAAGGAGAGTCAGTATTTGGTCCAAAGGATAATACCTGGATATTCTCTGAACTCAGAAATTGTGTTCTAAAAGTATTCATCAAAATATTGGGTTACCTCTTATGTTTTTTAACTGACTTTCTGAAGTTAGAATGACAGAACGTAACAGTTATTTACATTTTACGTAGGTAAATAACTGGACATTTTTACTTCTGTGAAAATGAACATTTTCATTATGTCTTCAATATTTCTGATCTTTCTGAGAAGCTAAGCAGTAGGAATTAACCAAATATTTTTTTTGGAGGAAAATGAGATGGGGCTTCTCATGTGTAAACAAGCAGCAATTTCAACATAGCTTAGTATTTAACATGTAAGAAGCTGGATTATAGTAATTGTACTAGTTCATTAACAGATGCATGATGTCTTTTCTGTGGATCCTGTGTGGTTGAAACACTTTCACATCCCAGCAGTGCCATAACATTTTGATTGTCCTTGTTTTCAGGAGTGCACTTTCTGTAAAAAGGAGATTTATATATGTAGAGGAAAAAGGTTAGGAACAACGAAACTGTTATTTCTTCAACTTGAAAATACGTATTCCTGTGCTATATTGATACAGCTTTATTAGAGATTTTGAAATCTATTCTACTTGTATTTTCAGACTTTAAAATAATAATAATAATAACAACATAAAACTGAGATAGAATTGTGAAATCCCCATGCTGAAATGATGTTATGCAGAACCATAGAAACGTTTAACAATGTCCAACCTCTGCACAAATTCCCTTTTTTATGTAAGTTTAAATTGCTATTTAACCAAGAGAGTCCTGCATAAGTGTAAAGCCATGGGATAATTTTAGCACGTTCACACAAATAGTGTATGCTGCCAGCTAGGAGTGGTCACTGCTTATATATGACAATGTAGATTTAAATAGCTATCAGATAAATATGAAATCTAATATACAGATTATATCTAATATTTATTGCTTCGATACAGAATATTATAGAAATATAGAGTACTACTGTAGACAGTTGGCTCTTCAACAATTAGTGTAGGCCAGCGCCTTCCTGCAGGGAAGTAAAATGTTAAGGTAGTTGGGCCATGTTCTGCTGTCATTTGTGATGCTTTTATTCACATGTCAGTGTGCAAGTGGATACAGAATTTCCCTCCGTTTATATTAGGATAGAATTTGTTTACATTTGAGGTCAGTCCTGGTTTTGTTTACGACGAGTTTAAAATCTGTTTAAGTGGATCCAAATCAATAGATTTAGCCAATGTAAGATACCAGTGGTCGCCGGGGGAGGCGTGAAACACAGAGGGAGCCTCTCATTTTGAGGATGCTGTCTCATACTTTGGCTGTGTATCATAACCCAGCCACTGCCCTAAGATCTCATGATGGTTTCTGAGTGTCATCCTCCAGACCTGTGTCTTTGTGTGCTGTGCTCTGTCACATGAAGGCCCACAGGTAGCTGAGCCCACTGAAAACCAGCAGATGTTAGCCTGTCTTGAGGGGCAGTAAACTTTTCTGATGCTGGGACATCATGAAACTGCCAAAGGAACTTGAAATTCATCTATTTGCCATCGCAGCAGTATGGCAGCCAAGTTTGTTTTGTGATGGAGGTGGGCATTCCTTCCCTATCAGTGCATTCTGTCAAGCACACAAAACTGAGTTGTTGTTTTTTGTTTTATTTTGTTTTGTTTTCTCAAAAAGGAGTATGTCAAAAAGCCATTGTTAAAATAATTATCTAACAACCTGGTATTTTATGGTCAGCTCCCCAGGTTTCTTCCAAAAGCTCCCCAGTTGCCATCAAGATTTCCCAGAAAAAAAAACATATCAAAGGAATCCTTGTGTGATTTCACCTGCTACACATATCAGGCTCACGACAGGATTACTCTGTGTTGACAGTGGACCAACTTGCTTGTTGGCACATAAATCAGTGGCATTAGATCAACAGAGCATTTGGTCTCTTCTGTTTATAGAGGAGGTTACAGGATTTGGGAATGGTTTGTATTCAGGCAAACTGTATCGACTGACCTAAGTGCTACTTGGTTGACCTCTGTTCTTGCTCATTTTCATAAAGTATCTTTCAAAATTCATACCTGTTTAATTTTGCAGACATCTTTCTGCAACCCATAGTGTTTTAAAGCAGAATGGCTTTTAGAAATGATGGAGTTTATTTCGTTAGATAAAAAAATATATATAATATTTAATTATTATTAAATAATTACACTATATTTTAGCTGTAGGTCTAGTTTCTGTTGTTCATGTCTTATCAATCAGCCATCACACGTGGCCTGTATGCATGTCAAGCACTCAGAAAGAGAACAGTGCCTTGTGGACCTCTTGCAGGATTTTCTGCACTGTTACCTACTAGAGTTTTACCATTTTGCTATGAGAATCAGTGTGGATTTTCTCTTTACAGTTAAAAAACAAATAAAGGCAGAATAAGTCCTTTGTAGGAAGTTGTAATTGGTTTAAAGTGTGGGGTTTTTTTAATTGTATCACAGGAAAAATGAAAATAGTGGCACCAAAATTACAAAAGCAATGCATACCTCGACATCCATACATTTTCCAAAGAACTTTTGAGTCATTTGACTTCTTCTAGGGCTAATGTTTTGTATTTTGATGATACTTTCTGTGTGCCTATTTCTTTTAGTGATAATGAGATATTTTCCTGTACAACAGTGTAATGCTATACACTCTGCAGCAATGTTGGTGTCATGTAAATACAAATTTCTAAATTTCAAGTGCAAGTTGAAGAAAAAAAAAACATTTGCAAAATTCACTTTGCAAGGTACCTCACAATCATGCTTAGTTTAAATTAATGTGTTCCCTTCAACAGAAATTAGCAGCTTTCACAGAATATGTTCTATGTACTCTGTAAGTAAGCAACGCTCCATTGCTCGTATTTCCTGTGGCTTTTTTCGGAAACCTTTGTTATCATGCACAATAAAATATCACCTGAAAATCAATGCTGTTGTTTTGGGGCTGAAGTATATTACGTGTAGGAAAAAATATATATATTAG